CAGAAAAAAGCACTCATGCGATGACCCAAACCACGTTGTGTTTCCCCATGTAGGTGCTTGTGCATTGTGGGCAGGCAGGCAGGCAGGCATCCATATAGCGCACACAGACGCACACGTGGCACCATCAATGGAATGCAGACGTACGCGACATGAAGAGGAAGGCGGGCAATGCAATGCAATGCAGTGGCCGCCGACGGCCGTCCTGCATCTCCTGCATCTCTCTCTCTCTCCTTCATTGCTTCATTCATTCGTGTGTGCAGCCCAGCCCTTCTGGCCTGGCCACCCCACCCGGCAGACTGGCCGGGCAGAGTGAGGGAAGTTTGCATGGCATTGCACACACACCCTCGGCCTCTCTGCCGGCTGGCTGTCTCTCTGTCTGGCGATAGATAGATAAAGGCACTAAGCGATCGATCTCACGTGAATACATGTATGTATCTCTGGTATGGTATGGTATGCACCCACAGAGGGAGGGAGGGAGGGAACAGAAAAACCACTGTCTGTCTGTCTGTCTGCAGGTGTGTGAGCGGACGGAGTGTGCCCGCGACTGTGTGTAAGTCCCCTGCGTGTGGTGAGGAAGGAGCCGACGCAGCATAGAGACACAAAGCGCACGCACCGGACACACAGGCGCACAAACGTGGCCTGCCTCGCTCGCACGCCACGCCAAGCACACAAAAAGGCATCACATCATCCAGACAGACATCATATGAATCATCCACGTCAAGCATTACATACATTAGTAAGAAAGTACACACTTCCCTCCCTCCCTCCGTCTGTCTGTTCCCCCCTCTCCTCTCCCTCCCTCCCTCCCTCCCGCATATAACACATGCCATGCAATGCAGCCACTTAGGCTGCTCACCCATCCATTCTCCCATCCACCCACCCACCCACATGCGATCCATCCATTCCATCAAACACCAAACATCCATTCGTATAGATACAGACACGTACACACACACACACGAACAGCCCAAGAGAGACAAAAACCCCGCCTCCATCCCTCCCTCCCTCAGCACCACAGACGGACGGACATCTCTCTCTACCGTCAGTCAGTCAGTGAATCAAGGCATCAATCTCCCTCTGATCCACACGAGTCGGTGCTGCCCGCCCCGCCCTGCTCGCTCATGCTGCCCCGCACGCTGCCCATGCTGTTCATGTCCATCATGTTGACCACAGACGGTCCCTCACCCTGGCCATAGCCATAGCCCCCTCGTCGCATGGCGGCGGATGTTGAGGGCAGCGTCATCGATCGGTGCACCGCGCGTGATGGCGGAGACGACGCCATGGCTGTGTGTGTGAGTGAAGGTGGAGGCCGGGGATCCGGCGGCAGGAGTTTGGCGAGGCTGAGGGGCGCCTGGGGCGGCGCCACGCCGGGGGGCGACTGCTGGCCAAAGCCGGGTGGAGGCACCAGGTGGGTGAGGGACAGCTTGGGGTGCGGGTTGGTCAGGGGCAGGCTGGGAGGGGGCGGGGGGCAGGTCTGTGTGGGGGGATGGGCCTCGGGCAGAGGCAGAGTCGCCACTGGCCGGTGAAGTGGCTGCTGCTGCTGCTGGGGCTGGGGCTGCTGGGGCTGAGGAGTCGCTACTGGGGGCTACAGCGCAGGAAGGGACGCAGGAGAGAGAAGGGCATAGTGCAGCGGAATGGCCGGCAATTGGGTATATATGTGCCTGTGCTGCGCTTACATTGACGGGAGGAAAGAGTTTGTGGTGAAAACCTGAATCAACAGAAACAGAAACAGAGACGGAGACGCAGACATCCATAAGAAAGAAGATGGCAACGCGTCGATATAGACGTCGGTTGGTTGGTTGGTTGGCTGTTTGATTGACCTACCAGCAGCAGGTTGGTAGAGCAACATCGACTGCGTCTGAGACAGCATGGCGTCGCGCTCCGCCTACACACAGACACGCATCCACCCACACCACCGTCCATTCACCGTGTCCGCACTCTCAACGTAGCGCCCCACCAACGTACCTGGACCATCTGCAGCGCCTGCAGCGCCATCCTCTTTCTCTTGGAGGCTCGGCTCTTCTTCTTGGGTGGGTGTGTGTGGTGGCA